AGAGCCTCGGTGTCTCCCAGTATCCCCCCAGCTGTTTCGGTTTCTTGCCAGGTCAGGTGTGTGGTGAGTGCTTCAGCCCTGCTACTGGTGCTGCTGTGCTTCCTCCCACTGCTCTGCTCCAGCTTGCTCCCCACATAGGTAAGAGCCCCATACCAGAGGGATATGTCCAGGACACATGGCAGACTCTGGGAAGTTGCTGGAGCATGTCCACCGAAGTGATCTGGAGAAGTGCTGCTGATGGGATAGGAGAAGTACCAAGCTTAGGCATTGGGTCATCTGCGAGTCTGAGAGTACCTTTGCCCTTAGCTTGCCTTGCTCTGCCAGTGCTCTGTCTTCCCCCTGGGGCATGTGGCTCCACTCTGCCTGGCCCAGATCATCTTCTGCTTTGTCCCCATTCTGAGTCCTCCCACTGCCCTGCCTGGTGGTAAGTAGCCCCAGCAACAGCTCCTGGCTCCAGCTGCAAACTAGAGATTTCTGTTACCCATTATCCAGTGTGCTGGTTCCAGAGATTAATTTTCCCTGCTTACCACTAATGCTCGAGCTATATTGACCCACAGAGGCTGTCCTCCCCTGCCCTCCTCCCAGCATGCACCCGTGTCAGCTGGAGGGGAGAGTGGGGGCCATCCCTGGCTTCTGGAGCACAGCCAGGCACTCATCCCACTGCGCAGGGCTGCTGGCACTGCTCTGCTTGCCTCTGACTGGAGTGCCAGGCTCAGACTGAGTGGTGCCTGCTGCAGCTATGCCAGGGCAAGAGTCACTGCCCCTCACACCAGGTGCTGCTCTGATCCATTCTTTATGTCTTGTCTGATTGTGGGAAAAGGAGGGAATCTGCTCCTTCAGAGTAATTCCATTGCTGACATCTCCCTGTGTCTTCACAGATATGACTGCCACCAGAAGGATGTAGGAGTTGGAATTGTGTCCTATAGCTTATTCTAAAAGTTATTCTGCACCTCTGTCCTGGACAAGGGACCCAGTAGTGTCTCCTGGCATGCTACTGAACAGCAGAGGCCCATCCATCCAAGGAGGGGTAGCTGTGTGACCCAAGGTCCTGGCAGCAAAGACAGAGCCCTCTTCCTGCTCAGGCAGCATTCAAGGCTGATGGTCCAGGCATCCTCAGGAGCAGAATCAGCCCTGGCCTTGGCAGGGGTGACTGCACTGGCCTGGGCTCAAGCAGAGCTGCTGCTCTGAATGTAGTCACAAGTTATTAACAGTAAGCAGGCTGCAATGACCCTTTTTTGGCAGCCCAGATTTGTCATGCAGATCTGCAGCTTCACAGGGTTGTGCAGCACTGCCTGTCTGTCCCCACGGGGAGAGAAAGGCAAACCTTGGCTGAAGCCTCCCAGAGCATCAATGGTGAAGGGAGGTTTAGGGGGCAAAGTGGGCTCCTGCGTCTGATTCGTGTCTCTATCGTGTTTGTCCTCCTTTCTCCTGTTCTAGAGGCCCAGCTGGACTCGGGGTCTCCCCACATCCCTGGGGGAGCTGGTAGCAGAGCAGGTTAGGGACTGTTCTACCTGCTCTGCCCTCGGTGCTGGTGGCTCAGCACTGCCTGTCAACCCTGAGGGCTGGTCCCCAGGCCCCCTGCTTCCCTCCCATCAGAGAAGGGGGAGCACCTCGGGGTTCCTCCGCAGCCGGGAAGACCCCGCCAGGCTCCCGCGGCCCCCGAAGGGGGTCCCCCCTCCCCGCATGCAAGTGTACCCAAATAAGGGGGCGTGGCGGCACCAAGCCCCTCCCCCCTATAAGAGAGCGCTGCGGAGGGGATTGCAGCAGCCGCAGCTCCGCGTCGAGCTCCGTCGCACAGAGCCGCCGGGACAGCCCGCATCCCCCGCCGCAACATGGTGAGTGCGGGCCGGGAGGCGGGCACGGCGGCGAGGAGAGAGCCCGGCAGCCCCCCGGCGGTCCCTCCGCTGCACCGTGCCCGGCGGAGCCGTGGCGACGCGCCCTCTCCTTCCCCGCCGTGACCTTGGGCAGCCCTCCCGGCCGCTGCCCGGGGACAGCCGTGCCCCCACCGCCCCGTGGCCCCCATCCCTCGCCCGCCGCCATGGGCACTGGGGCGCTGCCCCCACCCCCGGCACCGCCGAGGCAGCGCGGGGGGGCGCTGGGGATGGAGGAGGATGACCTCTCCGGTGGGGAGCGGTGGCCGCGGATGGACGGGAACAGCTGCCGAAGGCGGAGGCGACAGCCGGGCACCGGGGGCCGGAGCGGGGCGTTCGACGGGGCTCCCCCGCGTCAGTGCGCGCCCCGTCGCGGCTGGCGGCGGGGAACGGGCGTGGGGGTCTCGTCCCTCCAGTCTCGTCCCATGGGCATCTGGCAGCGGCAGAGCAGGCTGGGGTCGCTCTCCGAAGCGGGCAGTGGCCGCTGCCCTCGCCCGGGGCCGGAGCTGTCTATATTTAGCGGCTCAGGAGTGGGCCGGGGCCGTGCCAGAAGTCGCAGCGCAGCGCTCTGCCCGCCGCAGCGCTGACCGGGCCCTGCCGGGGAGCCTGCCCCCAGCCGCCCTCCCTTCTTCTTTGCGGCTGGGGATGCTCTTGGCCTTCCCGCAGGAAGCAGGAGCCCTTGTCCTACCCGGCGCTGGACCGGGGCACGGACCCCATCGCGGCTAAGGGCACTGTGCAGTCGGGGAATGCAGGGTCGAATTGCTCCAGGACCTCGAGGCTGAGTCGGGGCATCCTGCTCGGGGAGGCAGGGATTCTAGGACTAGCAGAGAAGGGATGTTGGAGTAGCGGAACAGGCCTGCACCTCCTGAATGGGAGTGCATGAAGCACATCTCCAGCTCACAGCCTGCTCCTCAGCACTTCTGCCAACACGGTTTTTGCAGCACAGGGTTGGGACTGCATAGCCGAGAGAATCTATGTTCCTCAGAAACTGCTGGTCTTCACTGCCAGCCCTTACCTGGCTGCCACCTAACACCCTTGCATCCCCAAGTCCACTCACCCCACAATACTGCTTATTTGGCTCTGGAACAGCAGGCAGAGGGGTTTCCCCATGCTGATTGCCCCTCATGGATTAAATGTTTGCCCCTGACAGCTCAGCTCCTCACTGGACTGCTGTTGCATGGGGAAGGGGCTGAGGCTGCCAGGGACCCTGGAAGAGTAGTTGGGCCACGCTCTGCTCACCTTACTGCTGAAGGACAGGCCCAAGCAGAGGCCATTGAGCTGGTGGCCACCAGTGAGGGCAGGGGCAAGAGAGATGCCAAAGCTGGATCTTGATCCATCCAGGATGGTGCCTGTGCATGGCTGAGGACAACACCAGCTATGGGGAGCCCCTCAGGGTCATGCAGGAGGTCACCCAAAGGAAAATGGGACCACTGACCAGAGCAGGCCCAGAGTGGGTGACTGGGTGGCACTGGCACCAGGTAGAGCCCTCCCTGGAGCAGGCAGGACAGCACTGTGCCAGGATCTGACTCTGCCTCCCCCTCCCCAGCGTGAGTGCATCTCCGTCCACGTCGGCCAGGCCGGCGTCCAGATGGGCAACACCTGCTGGGAGCTGTACTGCCTGGAGCACGGCATCCAGCCCGACGGGCAGATGCCCAGTGACAAAACCATTGGCGGAGGGGATGATTCCTTCACCACCTTCTTCTGTGAGACTGGTGCTGGGAAGCACGTCCCACGGGCCATCTTTGTGGACCTGGAACCCACAGTGATTGGTGAGTGCACCCTAGTTGGGAAGTGATAATGGTCATTATTTCTGGGAACAAACAACCCATTGCACGACGCTCCTGGGACTTCACACAGCCTGAGCTGCCCCCGTGGGTGGGTAGGAGGCAGTTGGTGTTCGTGGTCTTCTGACAATATCCTGCACTGGGTTTGACCCGAGGGCCCTTTTTTTTCCCCAGGAGAAGCCACAAGCATGAGCAACTTTTGTTCTTGAAGTGTCCTAGAGTCAGTGGTGCTTGTACCACATGTGCACAGAGAGAAACCAGCCCAACCGGCACGGCAGCTCCTGCTGTGCTGTGCGCAGGCAGCTCCTAAAGGTGGGAAAAGCTGAGCTGTGCAGGGAGGTGGCAGCCACCTCCTGATGCCAGAGAAACCTGATGCTTGTGGTGGCTTTGCTGACGTGTGGGTCCCTGGTCATGCCATCAGCAGGCGGAGCCAGGGTGAAGGGCGGCTGCTAGCGCCCACGTCTGCTTGGCGGCCAGCTCAAACCAACAGTCTCCACTGGCCTCAACCTGCCCCCGTTCTCTCCTAGATGAGGTTCGGGGAGGTGTGTACCGCCAGCTCTTCCACCCTGAGCAGATGATCACTGGCAAGGAGGATGCTGCCAACAATTACGCGCGTGGGCACTACACCATTGGCAAAGAGATCATTGATCAAGTGCTGGACAGGATCCGTAAGCTGGTAAGTGACTGCAGAGAGGGGATGTGTCTCCCTGGACTGGGGTCCAGTATCCTGCTGGAGCACAGAACATTCTGCAAGCCCTGCTGACCCCTGGGAAGCATATGCAGCTGACCAGGGCAGGGATAGACTGAGTCCTGAAGGGACTTGTGGACAGCCAGTCACAAAGAAATGTGTCTCAGAGCGGTCCCTCCTCATCTCTCTCTACAGGCTGACCAGTGCACAGGCCTCCAGGGATTCCTCGTGTTTCACAGTTTTGGAGGTGGCACTGGCTCTGGATTCACCTCCCTGTTGATGGAGCGACTCTCTGTTGATTATGGCAAGAAGTCCAAGCTGGAATTCTCCATCTACCCAGCACCACAAGTCTCCACCGCTGTGGTAGAGCCCTACAATTCCATTCTCACTACCCATAGTACATTGGAGCACTCGGACTGTGCTTTCATGGTGGACAACGAGGCCATCTATGACATCTGCCGCCGGAACCTGGACATTGAACGCCCAACCTACACCAACTTGAACAGACTCATCAGTCAGGTTGTCTCATCCATCACGGCATCACTGAGGTTTGATGGAGCTCTGAATGTGGATCTGACTGAATTCCAGACCAACCTGGTGCCCTACCCTCGCATTCACTTCCCCCTGGCCACCTATGCCCCTGTGGTTTCGGCTGAGAGAGCTTATCATGAGCAGTTGTCAGTATCTGAAATCACCAACTCCTGCTTTGAGCCAGCTAACCAGATGGTGAAGTGTGACCCTCGCCATGGCAAGTACATGGCCTGCTGCCTGCTGTACCGTGGGGACGTGGTGCCCAAGGACGTCAACGCTGCCATCGCCACCATCAAGACCAAACGCAGCATCCAGTTTGTGGACTGGTGCCCCACGGGCTTCAAGGTGGGCATCAACTACCAGCCACCCACGGTGGTGCCAGGGGGGGACCTGGCCAAGGTGCAGCGCGCTGTCTGCATGCTGAGCAACACCACGGCCATTGCCGAGGCCTGGGCTCGCCTGGACCACAAGTTTGACCTGATGTATGCCAAGCGCGCCTTCGTGCACTGGTACGTGGGTGAGGGCATGGAGGAAGGGGAGTTCTCCGAGGCACGGGAAGACATGGCTGCTCTGGAGAAGGATTACGAGGAAGTGGGCCTGGACTCCTATGAGGATGAGGAAGAGGGTGAGGAGTAGAGAAGCCTCAGCCTAAAAAGGACCACGCTCCTTCCCTGTGTTACCTGCAATCCCTTTGCAATAAACCATTTCAGAGCCTCGGTGTCTCCCAGTATCCCCCCAGCTGTTTCGGTTTCTTGCCAGGTCAGGTGTGTGGTGAGTGCTTCAGCCCTGCTACTGGTGCTGCTATGCTTCCTCCCACTGCTCTGCTCCAGCTCCAGCTTGCTACCTGTGCAGGTAAGACCCCTGGGGTCTAGTCCCTGGTGCAGTGGCACACATCCCACCCCACTCGTTGCTCCAGCCAGGGGTGGGTACTGCTTCCTTGTGTGATATGTGGCCCTGTGTTGTATCCTGGAGCTCAGGACAGCAGATGTAGTCTGAGCAAGAAAATAGTGGCAGCTGTTGGGTCTTCTCATGTGCAGCCCAAGGGTAGGTGGTGGACTCACCTGGAAAGATAGTGGTTGAAGCAGTGGGAGCAATCTGGCACACCTGCCCCTGTGGTCACCATACAGGGCAAGTGGTATGCCCAGCTCTCTGGTGCAATGGGTGCACCCTGCAATGGTATCCAGCATGGCATGAACGCCTGCTGCTGCTGTACTGCTCTTTGCGGTGAGAGGATTAAAGGAGGGGAATGCTCCCTGTGAAACTGCTTGTCTGCATTTCTTTTTTTACAACCTCTCTGTGGGTGGCCCAGCTGCTGGAGTTAGTGAGCCCCTCCAGCCAAGGCTGCCTGCTGGTCTGAGGGTGTCCTCAGTCCTGGGGTGGTTGTGCTGTCCCCATGCTCTGCATACCCCCACCAGAGCAGAGCTGCTGCTCCTGCCTCCCAAGGTCTGGAAGCTTCCCAGTCTGGGCATCCACTTCCCTCTTCATGGGCAGCAGAGTTCTGCTTGTACCCCTGCCCCTGCCTGCCTGTGCTGATCCCTACCCTGCAGTGCCCAGCTCTGGATGCTCTGAACAGCAGTGTCTCGTTCCAGCTGCAGAGTTGTGTTAGCTCCCAATAGCAGCATTCTGAGGCCAGGGATTAACTTTCCCTGCTTACTCCTAATGCTCTGGCTGTGCTGCCCCAACTGGCCTCCACTGCCCTTCCTCTCCAGCAACGCTTGGCTGCTTAACCCAGACAGTGTGCCCTGCTCTCCCTATGCCCGGGCAGGACCCCTCTTTGCAGACAGGGACACAGCCACACCTCCGCAAGAACATATTTTACTTCAAACACAAGGCAACATCAGTGCCAAGAGCAGTGGCAGAGTAGGCACTCCCTCTGCCTCCCTCCAGCACAGCACCAGGATCCGGCCCGCAGCTCTGCCCCGGGCAGGAGCAATCTTCCTGGGACACAGAGCTGCAGGACAGCAGCTCCCATCCCTAGGAGGGGTCCCACAACATCCTCTTCTGCCACCCCCAGGGAAAGTAGCAGCTGGCAAGGGACCCATGTTTAGCAGCAGATCACATATCCACAGCTCAGGGGCACAGACCAAGGCCCAGGCAGCAGCATCCAGGGCACAGAACACTCCAAACCCAACACACCTCCGGCACAGAGCAGCAGCTCTCCCCCAGGGCATCAATCCCCTCTGCAACAGGTCCGCAGGGCAGCAGGGATTAGGGCAGCTGCTTTTCCCCTGGCTCAGCCTCAAGATGCGTCGCCACTGGAAGGGGATGGGCTCAGATCTGTGTGGTGTCCTGTCCCGCCGGTGCTGGCAGCAGCCCCTCCAGTTGGTGGAGGATTTCATTTATGCTGGGTCTCTCCTGGGGATTCACTGTCATCATGGAGAAGAGCAGGCGCTGCAAGGCAGCTGAGTATCTGGAAGAAAGACAGCGAGGGGAGGATCCATGTGGTGCCCAGGACAGGGGCCACCCAGGAACAGGGTCACCCTCACCAGCCCCTCACCTGGTTGTGGAGGGCAATGTGAGGGGGTTCTGAACCGCCAGAGCTACACTGTCACCCTTCTGGAAGATGGCATCATAGGGACCCTCTCCAAACATCATGCAGTACAGCACACAGCCTAAGGACTGGAGTGTGTGGTGTCAGTGCAGGCCTGCAGCAGTGGGATGGGGGAGGCCAGAGGGCTGGATCCTTACCCAGATATCTGTACGCTCATCTATGATGCACTGGCTCGGCACTGTGAAGAGCTCGGGGGCACGGTAGGAGATGGTGCAGCGCTGGGCAGCCCAGTCCTGCAGAGAGCAGGATGGAGATGAAGGGACTGGAGCAGGGACAGGCCCATGGGGTGATGTTCCAGGCCACCCACCTGCACAGCCATGGCCTCCCGAGAGCTGCTGACTTCGATGCGAGCTTGGTTCATGGAGCCCAGGTCCATCAGCACAGGCTGGTCATCCTCATCCAGCAGCACATTGGTGGGCTTGAGGTCCCTGTGGGGATGGACATCTCTGAATGCCCACTGGGGCCCCTGCCAATCCCCCTAGCCAGTGCTGCCACTCCTCACCTGTGTGCATAGCCCTTGCTGTGGATGGCTTGCAGCCCACGGCAGATGCCATGGAGGATGAAGAGGATCCGCTGCTCTGGCATGAAGGTGCCTTTCTCTCGCAGTGCTTCCACCTCTCTCCAGAGGGTTCCCCCCTGGCAAACACAAACAGCTGGTCACCACTGCTGCTCCTGCGGTGGTCGGGCAGCCAGGAAAGCCCCCCTCACCTTCACATAGGGCAGGAGAAGCCAGGCTTCGTGCTTGGCGCCCTTCTCCACCATGCAGTGGGCCACCAGGGGCAGGATGTTAGGGTGGTTGAAAAGGCCGTGCATCTCCACCTCGTGCAGGGCGGCCTGGCGGTCTTCCTTGTCATGGCACAGGATGCGCTTCAGGGCATAGAAGCGCCCATCCCGCAGCCCCTCCACTAGGTCCACATAGCTGAAGCCCCTACAAGGAGTCAAGAATAGCATGGTTTGGGGGATGTGACATCCATGTTGGGGCGTTGTGACCAGACTCATCTATGAGCACCCAGGGGAGGGGGACAGAGGGCAGCATGAATCCCCCAGGTATGCACATCCCCCCACCTTGTAGGCACCTGCCAGGAACCCAAAGCATCTCCTCTCTGTTTGAAAAACCCCACTGGCCCAATCATTCCCACTCCCATGGCTCCAAGCACTCACTTCTGGGAATGAGCAACTGCTCCCTGTCACTCAGCATGAGAATCATCTGTCATGCACAAGCACCCCCCTATGCTGAAGCATCATCCCTCACCAAGCCCAAGTACCTCCCCAAGCCCCGAGGTGACCCGAGCTCAAGCATCTCCCCATCCTGCCCGACCATCCCGTGCCTGCGTCACCCCCATGCCAAATCATCTTCCATGCACAAGCACCCCCGTGCCCAAGCATGTCCCCCACACCCAAGCATTCCCCCTGTACAAACATCCTCAGGGCCGCGCACCTCCCATGCCCGAGCATCCCTCATACACAAACACGCCCGTGCCCAAACATCCCTCCCCATGCCCGAGCACGCCCTTGGCCTGAGGACCCCCCTTGCCCGAGCATCCCTCCCAGAGCACGGGGACTCCCCGCCCGAGCCCCCCGCGCCCCAGCCCGCCGCGCACCCCTCTGCCAGGCGGTGGAGCAGGAGGTACCGCGCTCCCCCTAGGCTGACGGTGCCCCGGGAGCAGACGCACAGCGTCTGCCCCATCGCCCGTCCGCGTCATCGCCCGCCGCCGCGCGTCACCCGCTGCGTCACCGTCACCCTCCGCGTCACCCGGCGGGCGGAGCATCATCGCCTCTCGCTGCCGGTGCCGCCGCGCCCGAGAGCTGCGATCCCTCCTCTTTACCGCGGGCTCGTCCTGTCCTGCAGCACCTCCCGACACCCCTGTCACCAGCTCTGTCATCAGCCCTCGGCCCAGGGATGTTTTCCTTTCCCTCATCCAGCATCAGCAGTCCTCCGATCAGAGCTACAGCCGAGCTTTCCATCACCACTTCTCTGATGGAACAAGCGGGCTGAGCTCAATGAAAGGGTTCTGCTGGCGGTGACACTTTCATGAGGCTCCTTGTCCCCTCACTTTGATTGTCACTCATCCATCCCGCTGGGCACCCGGGGTGTGCTCGGTGCGCATTGTGCCGCCTGCATCCCCTGCTGGGGTGCTGATCAGCAGGGGCTGATGTGCGGCTGGCCAGACGTGGAGGGTCGGAGCCGCCCACCCCTTTCCCATGGTCCCGCCCCAGCTGTTCCAGCTGCCTGCACTTAGAACCGGGAGAAGGAAGCGCTCGGCGCTGGCCAAGATCCTTCTCCGATCACGTGAAGGTGGTGGCCACGTCCAGTTTTGTCCCCTATCCCGGGCCTGCTGAGCACCTGGCGAGGATGGGGCTGCCGGCACTCGCCCTGCTGCTGGCAGGGGGGCTTCTGCACACGCAGGTTAGCAAAAAAGAGTGGAAAGTCTGGGAGAAACGGGTATGACTGAGCTGTGAAGGAGCCGGTGGGACGCCTCCGGAATCTGCCTTACTTCCCGATCCGTCTCCCCTTCTCGTTCTGCTATAGCTCCCTGCTGCAGCAGCCCATGTCCTGCCCCAATGTCCCAGCTTGCATTCCCAGCTCCTTCCCTGCCCTCGCAGCACCCACCCCAGCAGCACCCGTCTCCGCAAATGCCACCAGCTCAGTCGGCGGGTGTTTGATTAGCGGGGAGGCTCAGTTCATCCCTCCTGCTCTCCCAGGAGGACAGCTTGGTACCCACTTCGAGGGAGGGCTCCTCCAAGAACCAGCCCCATCAGTGCCTGTCCCAGGAAACATAGGAAGGGGCGGCTGGGCTCGGGGAGGTTCTGCAGCCCTCCAGCTCTGCCCCTTTCCTGCAGGCCTCCCCTTCGGCACGCTCTTTCCAGCTGGATTATGAACACAACTGCTTCCGCAAGGACGGTGCCTCTTTCCGCTACATCTCGGGCAGCATCCACTACGCCCGCGTCCCGCGCTCTGCCTGGAGGGACCGGCTGCTCAAGATGTACATGAGCGGGCTCAACACTGTGCAGGTGTAAGCCATGGTGACAGCCTTGGCAGTGTACAGCCCACAGCCACCACGGGGTTGCTGGGATCAGCAGGAACAGACGAGGGTGTTGTCTGACCACGGGGAGCAAGGACCAACACTTGCACTTGGCTGTGAACCCCCAGGTCACCCTTGCCAGACGCAAGCATGAGTGTGGGCTAGTTCCAGTCCAGCCCAAGTTGCCATACTCAGCTCAGGCTGCAGGCCAACTCCCAGAAGCAGAGGGACCAGCCAGTGGGATGGTTCCCTGTCGTGCTGGGATGTCCTTAGCTCCTGCATGCTGATCTCCCCTCTCACCCCAGCTACGTCCCCTGGAACTACCATGAGACACTGCCAGGAGTTTATGACTT